CTCAGACGTCAGGCTGGAAGTGATTTGAACCTGAGCGGCGTTGAGAGGGCAGGTATGTGAAGACCACCAAAGTCGCCCGGCCCGAGGACAAGGTTAGGGTCGGGGTCTCAAGGACTTCCGGCCCCAGAGCAGGGACGTGGCACAGGAGACAGGAGGGCAGCCAGGGACGGGGGAAAAGTCGGGAGGCGAAGTCATCAAGCTGAAAGGAGTCAACAGTGTCAAAGGGCATGATGCGATCACGCAGGTTGGACCCTAAGTCACGGCTTTGATACGGAACGGTGACTCAGAGAGAGAAGTGTCAGGGTGTAGTGGGGACGGCAAGGCTTTGTGCAGGGGAGCTGCAGCTGTGGGGGTATCCTGTGTCAGCCACTCTCCTGACATAGACTTGGGGTTGTAGGTGACAGAAACGTAGCTCACCGCAGCCTAAGCCACAAAGAGGCTCTGTCGGTTCATGAAACTGAAGTGTCAGAGGCAGGAAGTGGGTAGTTGGGCAGAGATGTGACTATCCACGGATGGTGATGAACTTGGAGGAGAGAGATATATTGTTAAGGAATAATAACAGCCGGCACTGGAGGATCTGGGGGACTGCACCAGGGCAGGCACCCAGCGGTGCCCTGTGTGTGTCACTGAGTCCATCCTTCCATGAGCACCAAGAGTCCGGGACGAGCTAAGGGGCTGCCACAGCCCACCATGTTTTCATGGTCAACGATATCTTTGCCTGTTCTGAAACTTTTCTGTTTCTGGCATGACAGACTCTTGACTTAAAACCAGAATTGTTTTCCGCTCTGCTGAGTGCCGTAAGTATTTTCATCGCAAATGACTCAAAGTTGCTTCTTTACTGGTCGCAAGTTTTCAGAAAGGAAAATTTCCTCTTCTGTAAAATATAACTGTGTTTTTTGCAAAGTGCCCTGAGGGTCCCGCCATGCTGAGAAATAGCACAGGCGGTTGTTGTCTGTAGGGATCAGATACCCAGAGCTTGACGGTCCAGCCGAGACGAGCCCGCAGCCCGGCCCACAGCCAACAGGTGTGTGATGGGCTTCCACTCCAGGTCAGGTGTCACCAAGACTCCGGGGACACATACCCTGCCTTCATGGAAGGTAAATGCCAGTGAAGAGAGAGAAATGATAAAAGGCTCTGGGAGGAAAAGTAAAAAATGTGAGGAGGGGTTAAAAAGCTGGTATCTTAGAGGTCAGGGAGGGCCTCTCTGAGGAAGTGACATTCCAGCTGATGTTTCAAGCATGAATGAGAATGAGCCATGCACTAGGATTGGGAGGAAGAGCATTCCAGGCTGAAGGAACAGCCTCTGTGGTGGCTCAGAGTGGGGGACTGCGGGACATCAGAGAGGTGGAGGGGTGGCCGGTGTGGCTGGAGTGTTGTGAGCAGGCTAGGGGAAGGAGAGAGGCCAGTCCCCGCAGGGCCATGGATGCAGGTGTACGTATGTTAGACCACCCGATACTGTCCCTGACACTGTTTATTCTTTCTTTCAGCCTTTTTTCTCTCCAAGCTTTCACCTGATGTTTTTGATCGCCCTGTCTTTGAATTCACTGATCTTTTCTTCTGTGTCTTATCGGCTGTTAAGTCCATACAGTTTTCATTTTGTTTTTGGGTTCTTCAGCTATAGGGTATTCACTTGGATGTTTTATAGTTTCCATTCCTTTGTTAAGATTCTTATTTGTTACCTCATTAAGTTCATGTTTTTCTTGAAATCCTTGAAAATAAAATGTGTGTGTGTGAGTGTGTGAGTGTATGCGTGTGTGTGTGTGTAGTTTATTTGTTTTGTTTTGTTTTTGAGTCAGTGTCTCACTCTGTTGTCCAGATTGAAGTGCAGTGGCATGATCATGGCTCACCACAGCCTCAACTTCCTGGGCTCAGGAGATCCTCCCACCTCAGCCTTCTGAGTAGCTGAGACTACAGGTGTGCACCACCATGCCCAGCTAATTTTAAAATTTTTTGTAGGGACAAGGTCTTGTTATGTTGCCTAGGCTGGTCCCGAATTCCTGGGCTCAAACAATCCTCCCTCCTCAACCTCCCAAAGTACTGAGATTACAGCCATGAGCCACTGCACCCAGCCATGTCTAGTAATTTTTAGCGTATGCTGGACATTGTGTTTTATGTTGAGTGCATGTTGTTGGCTTCCTAATAGAGCCTTGAGTTTTGTCCCAACAGGCAGTTAACTTACTTTTAACTTAACAATCTTTTCAAGGCTGACTTTTAAGCTTTGTAGGGATGAGTCTAAGGCAGTCCTTACTGTAGGGCTAGACCAGGTCTATTTCTAAGGCATGGCTTTTCTGGAATTCTACTGAATGCTTAAGATGTTCAATGAGCATCTCTTTAGGAATTCTCTCATCTCCCAACCCAGCCCTATGTCATCTCTGGTAGTTGTTCAGCTCACAGCTCCCCAGAGTTGTTTTCCTGAAAGTTTTATTTTTCCCTATCTCACAGAGTCTTGCTCTGCACATACACAATTTAGGACTCAGCCAAATTCCAGTTTTGGGGTCTCGTGCTCTGCACAGCTTCTCTTCTTTCTGGTAGCTTGCTTTGCAGATTCCTGAGGGAGGAAGCCTCAAGAGCCCTTACCTACAATCCTTGCCTGCACAGTCCAGAAAGTCTGTCTAGGCACAAAGCCAGGTGGTCATGGGAGTCTTCTCACTTTTTTTTCTAAGGGGTCACAGTCAAGTTCATATATTTTTTCTTACAGATGCTTATGGCAGGAGGGACCATCTGGTACCAGTTACTCCTTATCATGGCCAGAAGCAGAAATGCCATTCCTTTGTATGTTTACATTTATGTTTTGCACATTCCAAAAACTATACATGATTGTATTTTCCTTGTATGTAAAATTTTTACTTAAGTGGTATTATTCATATGTTTTCCTATCTCCCTTTTACAGTCAGCATTTTTGTGAAGATCTGTCCACATTGCTATATTCATTCACTCACTCAGCAAATACTTGAGTGTTTTTGAGTGTCTGCTGAGTGCAAGGCACTGTTCTAGGCTCTGGTGTACCGTTCCACAGTTGTACTTAATGCTTACATGTAAGGTCTTCCTCTAAGGAAGCATTCCTAGCAAAAGAGAATGGCAGGAAGCAGCCATTGAGGTAGGAGGAAAACCAGGAGAGTGTGGCGTCCCAGAAGCCAATGAGGGAAGTGTCAGAAGACAGGAGCGATTGGTCACCTGTGTTCAGTGTTGCGGAGTCAGGGGCATACAGGCATCAACAGTGATGGATAGAGACATGGTTCCTTTCAACTGCTGCTAGTATCTGTCACATAATGGAGAAGATTCAGTCCTCTACCCCCTACCATGGAGGTGGATACTGGCAGTGAACATGCCTGAACATGTCACCACTTTGAGCACCTGTGGGTGAGTCCCTACCTAGGGAGGAGCCATGAGATCATTCAGAAAGATACACACAACTTCACCTTGACAAGACCATGCCAAACTCTTCCCCAAATAGTGGGGTCTATACCTGTCTGCTTCACCACCACCCCCCTACCAGCACTGATACTGTAGACTGCCTCAGGAGTGAGATGTATGATTGGTTCTTCTGGTCACGTTTTCCTGAGTGCTAGTGGGGTTGAGTGTCTTGGCCATTTGGGCTCTTATGTGACCTGCCTGTTAATATCCATTGCCCGGTTCTACATAGAGTCTTCTTTTTTCTTTTTGATTTAAAGGTTTCTTTATATATTCTGGATATTAAGTCTCTGTCTATCAAATGCACTGCACATATGTATTCCCAGTCTGTCATGTCTTTTAACTTTGTAGTTGTGTGTGTGTGTGTGTGTGTGTGTGTGTGTGTATGTGATAAAAATGCTTTTCATTTGACACAGTCAAATCTATTTTGTGTTTCTTGTGTTATTGACAAAATCTTTCCCTATCCTGAGGTCACAAAGATACTTGCCTGTATTTTGTTCTAAGACTTTGGAAGTTTAAAAAAAAAAATAGATCTTATATGTTGATGCATCTGAAATGTATAGGAGGGGACAGGGTTTGGGTTTTCTTTGTTCTATTCCAAAAGCCAGATGTCCTGACCACTCAGCCTTTCTCTCCTGACCTGGGCTGCCACCCACTCCCCCTCAGGCTCTCACGGGGACACGGCTCTGTTGGCTGCTCTTCCTGCTCCACAGATCATCCTGCCTGTTCTTGTACTCATACTTGCGAGTTATAATTATTTAACTTCATTAAAGATGTGACATCTCGAAGGGTACGTTGGGCAGAGCTTTTGCCTTGACGCCTCTCTTTATTTATTTATTTCGCGTTGGAGTCTCACTCTGTTGCCCTGACTGGAATGCAGTGGCACACTCATGGCCACTGCAGCCTCAACCTGCTGGGCTCAGGCGATCCTTCCACCTCAGCCTTCCAGGTAGCTGCTACTACAGGCGTGCACCACCACACCTGGCTAATTTTTTGATTTACTGTAGAAATGAGGTCTTGCTAAGTTGTCCAGTTTGGTCTCAAACCTGTGGGCTCAGGCAATCCTCTCGCCTCGGCCTCCCAGCGTGCCGGGATTGTAGGTGTGAACCACTGCACCCGGCCTGACACCTCTCTTTAAACAACTGTCTGCATTAAACAGCACTGGCTGAACTTAGAAGCAAGCCCATTTGCCATTCACATGCCAAAGACTGATCTGTGGCGTGATGGGTGGGGCTCTCGTGACTTTCCTGTGAGACTCTGGGAACTTTTACTTCGGGCCCTCCCCCCCCAAGTCTTTGGGTTGCAATGTCTCTGAACCACGTGGCACCCTTCCGGGATTCACGCTTGGGCCCACGGTGGGTGCCAGACCACAGACTGTCCTGGCGGGGTCTGGAGTTTCCGGTTGCCTCATAGACACTTGCGACCCTGGATTCCAAAAATAAGACACAAGAAACCACCCACCGTGACCTCATGGTCTCTGCTGCACGGTGCTCTGAGCATCTGGACCGTCTTCACCTGCAGGGACCCGGCCCAGCCTGGGCCCTTCTCCCCATCCCAGCAGTGCTGGGGTCCGAGGAGTCCGCAGGGCCGCCCTGCCTGATGCGCTCACTCTCTGTCCCCGCCCCTAGGCGGTCACCCGCAGGGCCAAGGTGGCTCCAGCCGAGAGGATGAGCAAGTTCCTGAGACACTTCACCGTCGTCGGGGATGACTACCAGGCCTGGAACATCAACTACAAGAAATGGGAGAATGAGGAGGACGAGGAGGAGGAGCCGCCACCCACGCAGGCCTCTGGCGAGGAGGGGACAGCCGCAGACCCCGAGGCTGCCCCTGTCTCCTCGCCCCGGCCTCCCCGCGACTTCAGGGCCACATTGAGGAAGCTCTTCAGCTCCCACAGGTTTCAGGTAGGTGGGGAGGAGGTTGCAGTGGCCACGGGGGGCCAGCCAGGGGGCCCATCTCGGCCACCGCCTCGTTCCTTCCACAGGTCTCACGAGCGCCTGCCACGTGTCGGGGACCCCGGGCCACACCGGGCTTGCATTGGGCAGGCCCCGAGTGGTTGCAGGGAACTATTCAGAGTCCAAAAGTGAATTAAAGAGCCATCCATGGCTGATGTTAAACAAAACGAGGGGTGTCCATATGGTGGACTCCAACTCAGCCGTGACATGGGCCTGACATGGATGGACCTTGAAAACAGGATGCTGAGTGGGAGAAGCCAGACGTGGGAGGACACGCGACATTTTTCTGAAATGTCCCCACCAGGCACGTTCAGAGAGACGGAAGGCAGACTGGCGGTTGCCACAGGCTAGAGGGTTTCCATTTGGGCTGGTGAGAGTGTTCTGGAACTAGATAGTGACGATGGCTGCGTGGCCTTGGGAATGTACTTAATGCCACTGAACGTCACACTGACTTTAAATGGATTAAAATGGCAGTTTTTACGTTATGCAGATGTTGCCACACACACAAAAGTAGATCCAAGGGTAACAGTGGAGACAGAAAAGACACCCGTTCAGTCACTCAGCTAACACTGGCCATGAGGGTCCCCTGCCTCCTCACGGTGGGCACCTTGGGCTCTTCTTTGGTGGATGACGCCAGAAATATCTGCCCAGCTTGACCCCACGCTGGCCTCCAGGGGCGGTTCTGGGGAGAACAGCGGAGGGAGGCGAGGACCTCCCAGAGAGCAAAGAGAACAGAACCTCTTATGGGGCTCAGTGTCTGTCCTGACATTCTGAAGGACACTTATGAAGTTGAAGGTCAGATGCAGATGGGTTCTGACCAGCCCTCTCTGAGCCCCACGCCCAGCCCTGCAGTGGCCATTCTGGTGACTGGAAGCACATTCCGAGTCCCCAGTGACATTAGGGAAGTGACCAAAGGCCTCTGGGGGACGCTGCTGTCGGCGTCTTCCGAGACCAAAATAAACCAAGCCCTCCTGAGAGCCTTGCCCCTCAGGAAGTGGAGAGAAGCAGCCCTTGCCTCGCCCATCACTTTGCTCCAGGGTAAAAAAGAGAAACGTTATTTTGGTCTTTTTCCTGCTCTCATGTGGCTGTAAAATGAACAAGCGGCAGCCCAGCACTCCCAGGCTCTGTGCGTCCTCTGAGGCTGTGACGGGAAGGGAAACGTGGTATTAAGTTGTTGGGTTGATGTCCCAAACCCTCAATTTCAGGAGCAGAAGGAAGGGGCCGGCTTCCTTCCAGCTGCGAGGGGAGCCCTGGGCCGCCCCCTCAGGATGTCCCTCCCCCAGGCGTGGGCCCACCAGCCACGTGGCCTGCTCAGGGCTCAGGGCGGGCACCCTGAGCTGGGACCCCCAGAGATACTCCTACTGGGGAAAAAGACGAGTGACTGTCATCAGATAAGTGGACGTGTTTATTCGCCCTCTCAACAGTTGCTTATTGAGCACCTACTGTGCACAGCAGTAAATGTGGCAGACACATCCCTCCCCGAGGGCTTGACCATCTGCGGAGAGGCAGGAATTGCAGGAATAATCACCGAGGCAAATGCTGGTTACAAACGGAGAGAAGCCTCTCTCTGCAGGGAGGTGGGGGCACTGAGAGATCCTGGGGGTGGAGAGCCTGATCGGGACTGCTGTTGGAGGAGAGGACATTCCACCCAACACCTGCAGGCTGAGCTGCTGTGGAGGAAGGGAGGCGCCTTGCAGGCAGGGCCTTGTTTGCCCAGGGCCTGATGGGAAGGAGCCCACAGGATGCAGGAGGCTCAGGTGTGGCAAATGGAGTGACTGCTTGGCAGCAGGGTAGACGAGGTGGGTCATCTGTGGGCATGGCCGCCCTCTGAGGTCCTGGGTGTGTGGGTGGGGTGACATGATGGGATCTGTAGAGGGGCTCAGGTGGAAGCAGGGAGGCCAGAGTGGGGTGGGGGCGAGGGTGCATGGGTTTTGATCTCCACAGGCAGAACCAGCATAGGTAGGAATGCCTGGCGTCCCTGTTGAGGGAGGTTTGAGGTGGCCACAGTGACGTGAGAGCTGTTGTCATTTCTTACACGGGATAGCACAAGCAAGTGAGAGAACGGGGGTGACTCGAACTCCACGGACACCACAGGTGAACAAGATAGAGTCTGGCCGAGGGAAGACGATCCTAAGGGTGAAGGAGTTTCACTTTTATTCCTGCGCACCGTAAGCCAGCCCCGTGCTAGGCATGCTCCACGCGACCTCCTGGTACTCTCATTGTCGCTCAGGGGTAGAAGACATGGGTGACCCCAATGAGAGATGCACCCCTGGTCCAGGCCGGGGGGGGGAGCTGAAGCCAAGCCTAGGATGGGCCATCCACAGCCCGCAGACTCAGCCGTCTTTGCAGGGTGAGGATTTGGAACTAGCCAGCTTCTCTGAGGATTTGCAGGGTGAGGATTTGGAACTAGCCAGCTTCTCAGCATTTTTCTTGGTGACATGGTTCCCCTCAGAAACATCCCTCCTGTGAGCTAGCAAGCTCAAGGCCCTGGGACTTGCTCACGGAGGGTGGCTTGGGTCACTCTGTCCTTCTGCTTCATGGTTCTTCTTTTGAGATTCACATCACATGACATTCATCATTTCAAAGTGAGCGATGCTATGGTGTTTAGTAACCTTCATGGCGTTTTGTGTGACTCACCACTGCCTAGTTCCAGAACATTCTCATTTACCCCAGATGGAAACCCTGCACCCACTGGCCATGCCATCTTCCCAGCCTAGAAAGCCATTAGCCTGCATTTTGTCTCTGTGGATTTGCCATTTCTAGATGTTTTCTGTAAATGGGACCATCCATTGTGCAGCCTCCTCTCACCGTGACATTTCCAGGTTCACCCAGAGGCAGCAGGGCTGAAACCTGGAGGAATACTAGGCCACATGAGCCTTAAGGCAAAACCAAGGAAGAAAACAAAACCCATCGGAGGCATGACGCTTTATTAAGCTGCTAAACTTGAATATGTGTGAAAACTTCATTACAAAGCAGTTTGCCTTGTAATTTTCACAGGAAACTATGTCACAGGTTGAAATGCTCAAAGGATTAATAGTCTGTTCTTGCGTGGGCTTGAAGGGGTTTAATTTCTACCCGAAACTGTCAAGAAAATGGCAGATTCGTTTTCAGAGGTCAAAAGCTATCAACCCAAAGTGTGAGGCAGGGCCCTGAGGAAGCAGGTGATGGCCAGCATTTCCAAGGAAGGAAAGTCCTGTTAGGGCCTTCGAGCCCCTCCTGGGGTTGCATTCCACCACCACCGTGGTCTTCCGAACACTGCCCCTTCTCCCACCACTAGTGCCCTCACCAGTCACCACCACCTGTCATCGTGACCACCATCATTGCCATTGGTGAGACCCCCTGGAATCCCCTCCCCGGCAGGTCCCAAAGCCCACGAGCCTCTCTCTCACAGTAGAACTCTCCCCAGTTCTCCAGAAGCCCAGGACTCCTTCCCTCATGTCCAATGTGCACCCAGGAGCTGGGCGGGCATCTCGCGTCTCAGGCAGAAGCTGGTTTGCAAGCACGGTGGCCATCCCTGCAGCCCAGTGGCTGGAAGCAGGCAGTTCCCAGAGGTCGCTTCTAGGCCTCAGCCCTCTGAGGCTGGGACATGTTAAATTCTGCATTGAGTATCTGTTATGTGGGTACCCCAACATCAAAACCCCCAGAAATAGAAGCAGTAGAACTTTTTTTTTTTGGAGTCTCACTCTGCTACCCAGGCTAGAGTGCAGTGGCACACTCACTGCCACCCCAGTGTCAACCTGCTGGGCTCCGGTGATCCTTCCGCCTCAGCCTTCCAAGTAGCCAGAACTACAGGCACACGCTACCATGCCCAGTTAATTTTTTATTTATTGTAGAGACGAGGTCTTGCCAACCTGCCCGGCCTGGTCTTGAAACCGCGGGCTTAGGCAATCCACTGTCCTCGGTCTCCCAAAGTGCTGGGATTACAGGTTGAGCCACCGAGCCTGGCCAAAAGTACTTTTTAAAGAATTAAATGAGTAAGGAGAAGACTAGGAGTGACTGAGGGTCAGTGAATGAGCCAGATGGGTATGCTCCTGGAGAGCAGGAAAGGTGCAGCAGGCCTGGAAGGAGGCAGCTTCTGCCAGAGGGGAGTTGGCCCCCAAGACTGCCTACCACGGGGCCCCAGCAGGGCGCTCTGGCACTCTGTCCTCAGTGGCCTCCATCCTTGACTGCTTTCCCTGGTGGTTTCGCCCAGACGCTTCCACACCAGCTCTTCAGACAGCAGGAGGGAGGGCCCCTGCTTGGATCTCATGGTCTCTGGCTCCTCCCCTCGGTCCACAGGTCATCATCATCTGCCTGGTGGTCCTGGACGCCCTCCTGGTGCTCGCCGAACTTATCCTGGACCTGAAGATCATCCAGCCCGACAAGAACAATTACGCTGCCAGGGTAGGGTCTTCTAACCCGGTTCCTTACTGACGTCTGCACGGGGGCATGGGTGGAGCCCCACTTGGAGTAGCAGCCCAGCAGAAGAGTGGCTTGCTCGAGTGTTTTAGTCAAAGGGCAGAGACAGCGTCTTTCCAGATTCTAGACAAGCGTTCCCACCAACAAGCGGGAAGCCTCATTGCCCTTGGTGGCTTGAATCATGAGTGGTGCTGGACGGGTGAGCTGGGTCATGTCGCTGATGCCGAGGGCTTGTCACCCAGAACAGATGGATTTTCCTGTCCCCAGGGACAGAACGGTCATCTCTCCTCCTGTCTTCTGTGATGGTCTGTGTGGTGCCCATGCCAGGGCATCACCCAGACATCACCCACTGGCAGCGGCCATACCCTGTCTCAGTGCAAGGGGAGGAGGCTGAAGGGTGAGAAGTATCACCTCTTGCCTTATTTCGGGAAGAAAATGGAATCAATACGCAGACGTATGCCGGTTCAGGTGGCAGAACGGGCAGGAGACAGGATGGTGCCTCCTTGCCCCTGTGCCTTCCCTGGGGCAGCCCTGGGAGCCTTCTGTGCACGGAAGCAGGAGTGTCTTCCCTTGCCCTCTGGTCTTAGTAGGACCTGTTAACATACTTGTCTTTTTCTCAAACTTTTATTATGAAAAATGGCAAATATACATTTTGCTCTATTGCTTGGTCACAGTCTACCTGCAGACATACACATTTCTGCCTGGTTTGCCCCATGCCGCCGCACCCGTGAACACTTCAGCGTGTCTAGGAGTGAGGCTTCCTCCTGCAGCGCCATGAAAGATCACAGGTCTTCCTGGGGTGCTCAGCCCCAGGAAAGATCACAGGTCCACCGCATGACCCCCACTCATGTTTCCTCACTCGCCTAAGACTGTCTCGTGGGCTTCTTTACCTGCGAGGAGCTAACCTCCCGTGTTCCAGCTGGTTCTGTCTCCTTGGGCTTTTCCAGTCTGGAAGAGTCTTCCACGCTTTTCTTTCTCCCGCATGACACTGCCCTTGAAGAGCCCATCCAGTCACGTAGGAGTCCCGTGTTCTGGATCCCTCTATCCCCTCAGGGCCCTCTACCTCGTTTCCATATTTCCTGGGCACCACAGGTGGGGTGCAGAGTTCTGCCAGTGACGTCCTCACAATGGGCAGTGTTGCATGTGGCACCACCAGGAAGCGTGTCTGGCCGGGCCACTCAGTGCCACTTACCCTTGATTAGGCAGGAGTCGCTGATGGCACCCACCATGTGGGCGCTCTTCCTCGTGCAGGGATAAACAGTCAGCCGGTGTGCCTTGGCACCAGGCGAGTTTCTTCTTCCCCAGTAGCACCCATGGGTGATGCCTGCACAGGTCAGTGGACACCCTGGGGATATGGAATGGGGACTTCCTAATCTGTCTTTCCTTCCACATTAGTAGTCAGGTCTCTTCTATGAAGAAAGCTTCCCTTTTTTCCACATGTGCATTTGTGTGTGCCTCACTATGGATATACGGATTTTTTTTTTTTGAGTTGGAATCTCACTCTGTCACCCAGACTGGAGTGCAGTGGCCGCTCCCGGTCACCGCAGCCTCAACCTGCTGGACTCTGGCAATCCTTCCTCCTCAGCCTTCCAAGTAGCCGGAATTACAGGCATGCGCTACCAAGCCTGGCTGATTTTTTGACTTATTGTAGAGATGAGGTCTCGCTGCCCATGCGAGTCTCGAACCCACGGGCTCAGGCAATCCACTCACCTCAGCCTCCCAAAGGCGCGGGATTACAGGCTGAGCCACCAAGCCCGGCTTATACGGATTTTTTTGTTGCATGTGTTACAATCTTAGTCGTGCTTTTTTTTTGAGTTAGAGTTTCACTGTGTCGCCCAGGCTGGAGCACAGTGGCATGCGTGCTCACAGCCACTGCAGCCTCAACCTGCTGGGCTCAGGCAATTCTTCCACCTCAGCCTTTCAAGTAGCTGGAAATGCAGGCACGCGCCAAAACACCTGGCTAAGTCATGCCTTTTGATCTTCAAATTATCCCCAATCTGGTTACTGCGAGCCTCTTCAGGCCAACCACCGTGTCCTTTAGACATGACCCCATAAGTCTTTGTAAGTTTCCTTGCTCTCTGTACAAGATGTCCTGGCTTGCTTTGTACCTTCCCTGCCCCAAAGCTGGAACTGGCTGCCTTAGTGTGAGGGCCAGTGTTTATAAATCAAGTCCTGGGAACCTATTCACTTGCCCCCTACCCTGATGTCCCCTCCTAATTGGTGCATATGGAGCTGCCTTGGGCTATTTATCTACTAATGAATGAATGAACGAGTCGGGGTCACATTATGTTGCCCAGGCTGGCCTCAAACTTCTGGCCTCAAGCAGTCCTCCCGCCTTAGCCTCCCAAAGTGCTAGGACTTCGGGCGCATGACACTGTGCCCAGCTGAGCCTAACAGCTGTGTAGTGATCACCCCTGATGGAGGCCCCATTGCTCATCTGGAATGTTCTGAGGGATACTTATGCTATCCTGCAAACAATGCTGCAGTGACGATCTTATGCGCATCTTTGTGTGCCTGAGCTTAGCTGTGGGATCAGGTCTTAGCCATAGAATTTGTGGCCAAGGGTACGGTGGTTACTTTAACTCCGACATCGCCCAATTGTCCTTTGGAGGGCAGGGACTCGTCTGGGGTGATCATAGCTGTGTTTCCAGCACCAAGCATGGCACCTGGTGCTGGTGGTTGAGTGTCTGTCTACCAGCCGAATTCTCTCTCTGGTACCCCGGGCAGGTGCGTCCAGCCAGCCTTGAGCCCAGATCTCCTCTGACAGTGACCCTTTGTCTCCCTCAGGTGTTCCACTACTTGAGCATTGCCATCTTGGTCTTCTTCATGATGGAGATCTTCTTTAAGATATTTGTCTTCCGCCTGGAGTTCTTTCACCACAAGTTTGAAATCCTGGATGCAGTTGTGGTGGTGGTCTCGTTCGTCCTCGACATTGTCCTCCTGTTCCGGGAGCACGAGTTTGAGGCTCTCGGCCTGTTGATTCTGCTCCGGCTGTGGCGGGTGGCCCGGATCATCAACGGTATGTCTCCTGCACTCCTGGGCTGCACGCCGGGGCCAGGAGGGCACGTGGGGTGGGGAGGCTAGCTGCTCAGTCCATCTGGGCGCCTGAGCTCTCACACATTCCCATTACAGAGGCCCCCCTGCCTTCCTCTTCCCCACCCTCGTCCCCTTCAGAGCACAGAGAAAAGTGAAGTGTGACTTGGTGTTCCACTGCCACCTTTCTGGCTATAAACTGAGACCAGGATGTGAGCTCTAGGGGAACTGCCTTTCTCCTTTAGGCCATATTTTCATATTCATGGAAAGGGTTGGACTAGCCCCTCCCAACCTTCTCCCAGAGCATCTTTGTTTTTAAAAAGTCTTGTTCAGCCGGGCTCAGTGGCTCAGCCTGTAGTCCCGCGCCTTGGGAGACTGAGGTGAGTGGATTGCCTGAGCCCGCGGTTCGAGACCTGCCTGGGCAGCTTGGCGAGACCTCATCTCTACAATAAATAAAAAATTAGCAGGACGTGGGAGCGCGCACCTGTAGTTCCAGCTACTTGGAAGGCTGAAGCGGAAGGATTGCTGGAGCCCAGCAGGTCGAGGCTGCGGTGGCCGGGAGCAGCCACTGCACTCCAGTCTGGGTGACAGAGTGAGACTCCAACTCAAAAAGAAAAAAGTCTTGTTCCCTGAAGGAGATTCCACCACACCCTTAGCATCTTGGGAGGGAACCATCTGGAAGGGATGCAAGTCACTGAGCAGCCTTCTCCACTGGCTCCCACTCTGAGAATCCACAAGGCATGCCAGCATGAGGGACTCTGAGAATTTTCCTAGTTGTCCAGACAGTGTTGGCACTTTTCTGGGAGAAATAACACCTCTTCATGCCAGGGACTCTGGCTCTGGAGAAGGTACTTGGGGAAATAGTGCCACCCATATTTTAGATAAAAACCCTGTTCCTTACGCATGTCCTGTATTCAGTGTCCCCAGGTCCAGAGAAGCCATGCTGCTGCTATGATTTTCTGTGGACAGAGTGGCCGCCAGCTGGCTCCTTGTTCGGTTGGCCATGACCTAGTCAGAGTTGCTCAAGTGCCCATCCACCAACCTGCTGTACCGGTCCCCTTGAAGCTTTTTTAAAATGGGGAGTGTGATAGGGGTATGGGGTGGAAGCCAGGTAGGGCGTTTAGCTTGGAAGCACTCACAAAAGATCTGGGTGTCCAGCCAGGTTTGGGAGTCCTCATACTAGGGCCCATTCATCAACTGGAGGATGAAGGAGTGAGTGTGGCCTGGGTCTGAGGCAGGCGCAGCCTCTGACACCAAGCTCCTTCCTATGGTGGCCTAGCAAGTCCTATCACATACCCCACGTGCTGCAGCCACTCCGTCTCAGCATGGCCTGGTGGTAAAGATCTGCTTGGATGGTGGGACTGTGTAAACGGCTGCACTGTGGTCTCATGCTGGCCTTAGGGTCTGGTTCTGAGCAAGTCAAGACCTAGCAGGGAGAATAAAGCCCACTCAAAGCATTCACTGTACACTGTCACAGGCACAAAAGCCTTTTACCTCTTGCTGAGGGTGCTCTCCTTGTGGGGAAGGGACGTTTCCAGGCTGTGCTTCTGTGGCATTTGTGCACCGCTGCTGCTGCTGCGTACCAAGACTGTCAAGAGCCAGTTCTGTATTCAGGAGCTTGGTGTGCATCTCATCAGGGTGATTTTCAAGGGTTTCTCAGCCACATGAGCTGAAGCGACACACTGCATTACTGGGTACTGAGGAGCTCAGAAATGGAAAACCTGACCCCCCCACCCCCGTTCTGATGCCTTCAAGTGGTGACTGTCTCACATGTCTGTCACCACTCTTCCCACTACAAACACGCATAAGAATACATATTTTTTCTTTTCCTGAGTTGCTAAGCAGTATCAGTGAGACCTTCCATTTTATTTCAGGGATAATTATCTCGGTTAAGACACGATCAGAACGGCAACTCTTGAGGTTAAAACAGATGAATATCCAGTTGGCTGCCAAGATTCAACACCTTGAGTTCAGCTGCTCTGAGAAGGTAAGACACGTAGGGGAATGTCCCACCTTCACGTGCTCAGAAGTAGGGCCCTGCCTAGAGTGTCCTTCCCGTGACTGAGTCTTGCTGTCCTTACAGATCTTTCTCCTGGCTTCACCTGCTCCCTGAAGCCATGCCCAGCTCCCCCAACGCCCTGCCAGGTTCCCCACCTGAGCGCGTCCTCTCACTGCTGCTCAGTGGACCTTATGTGACTATAGCCGTCTCTAGCGAGCTGAACTCCACAAAGTGCACGGCTTTCCTCTGTCTTTGTGGCACCAGGGGCATCTGTGAGGCCCCTGGTAAAGTCCCACATCTGTCTGCTTTTGCAATAGGAACAAGAAATCGAAAGGCTTAACAAGCTGCTGAGACAGCATGGACTTCTTGGTGACGTGAACTAGACCTGGACCCGCCCCACTGCAAAGAGAAGACCCTGCCCCGACTCCTGGGGCCACCTGGGGAGAGGTGTAGTCGGACACCTTGCCACACCCCTGCCCTGCTTAGACTGTGGGGCACAGCCCGTCAGGAGGCTCTTTGCTCTTGGCACGAGAGCCACCCACCCCACTCCCACCCTGCGCTATAACAAATGTACCAGCTGAGTCTTCTTACACTGAACATTCCAGCCTGGCTTGACAGTGAGCAGTGAAGCTAGACAATGGCCGCCTGTATGTAAAATTTAATCTCACTGAGTGTAGTTTTCAGTTCCACATGTAAGTTGAAGAACCGGTGCAGCCTTTCATAGGAGCATTCTGAAAGAAAGAAGAAATGAAGAAGCTACTTTAGCTACTGGCCCATTCTAGAAAAGTCATCTTCCTTTCCAAGTTGTTCTGAGCAGCAAGGTTGTCCCGGGTCCAGGCCCCGCCCCCACGTGATCCAGCTGCAGCATCCAGCTTCTAGCCGGCTCCGCCTGGTGCTGCCACCTGACAGCACTTTTCTCAATTACTGAACAATTACTGCATAAAATGAGCCCTCTCCTTCCCTGGGCCCTCCTACTGCATTCTCTCCTCTGTGGCAGCCCACGCCAGCCCGCCTGTGGAGAGCTGGCTGGCGACAGTACCTGGCACAGAAACGGCAACTAGACCAAAGCACCACTGTAATTAGCATGATATCTGGGGGAAGAGCCCCTCGCGAGGCTTTGTACTTGACTTGCTTGATTTTGTACAGTATTTTGCTATTTTTGTAACTCATTTCCATAGGACCTGAAAAGGAAAGAAAACCTGAACTAAAAACAGTGAATATTCACTCAAGCAGGGAATAAATAAATCGGCTCTATCCTCCCTGCCTAGGCTGCTGCAAGGTCTGTTCCTGTTGCCAGCTCCCCAAAGACGATTTGGTTTCTACACATGTCCCATGTGCTGAAAGTGCTGAAAATGACCAAAACCAGATGTTTCCCCTTTCTAAATTCACACAGAATAAACTTTCCAAGAGGAAAAAGAAAAGAAGGAAGTGAGTAGAGAGGGCAGTGCTGGTCTGGAGGCGACCTCAAGGGTCAGAAGTCTCATAAGAAGCGATGTCTCTGAGGGACTTGTGGCCCACAGGCACGCCACTTTTAAGGAGACCTCAGAGGCAGGCGCAGTGTCCTTAAGTAACAACTTACGTCAAACAAATGGGAAGAAAAAATCGAAGGGCAGCCTGGCATTGATGGTTGGCGGAGCTCGGAAGCCTGCCTCTGCAGGTGCAGACACGTCCACAAAAGTAACCGTGGTAGAAATAAGAACTGTCCTTTCATTTTCTGAACTGGTCTGTAATGAAAGAGATACACATCCTTCAGTGTGTTACCAGGATAGGAAAGATAAGACATTTTCATTCTCTCCCTTACTCAGCCACTGGCAGGTCATGACTCTGATAGGTCCTGGAGCATAATCAGCTGTTTCCTTGGATGAGGGAAACAGTTTTCCTTGGGTTGTCCTGATTAACACATCTATGTCATAACTCCATGTTCATGAGAATTTTAAAGATCCAATCTAAGCAAGAATGCCAATAAGAATAAAACCATTCTCAGTGGAGTTGGATTCTCTAAGTAAAAGACAAAGAATGACTACGAAATTGTTTTAAGAACCCTCGTTGTTTAAATTATAATCTTCTTCAGAAAGTAATAAATTTCACCTGTCACACCTGAGTCTTGTGTAGACTTCTGTCTTACCCCCAACACCTCGAAACCAAAGTGAGGCCTACCTCAGGAAAGGAGGATGAAATGAGACTTGCAGTTACGTTGACTATTTTGGCCTGTGGGTTCAATAAGGATCCGTACTTAGTCCACAGCACTTCTATAACCAAGGCCACTGGGAGCTGGCAAGAGTCCTGCAAAACAAAATGCCATTAATCAATCTGAATATTATATACCCTGAAGTCAAACTTAATCTGCAGTTCAGAATTGTAATTATAAAATGTCTCACATATTACAAAATGTTCTGAATACGAGAATGAATAGTTCATATAAAAACAACTTAGAGAAACTACTTTTTTTTTTTTGAGTCAAGGTGTCACTCTGTCGCCCAGGCTAGAATGCAGTAGTGCAATCACAGCTCATCTCAGCCTCGACTTCCTGGACTCAGGTGATCCTGGCCTCAGCCTCCCAAGTAGCTGGGACTACAGGCGCACCACCATACCCGGTTAATTTTTGTGGGTTTTTGTGTAGAGACAAGGTCTTGCTATGTTGCCCAGGCTGATCTCGAACTCCTGGGCTCAAGCAATCCTCCCTCCTCTGCCTCTTAAAGTGCTGGGATTATAAGCATGAGCCACCGTGCCCAACTGAAACAACATACTTTAAAGTACTCAATACTTCAAAAATATTTTAATACCTAAAGCACAATTTTTCCATACCCTCCTATTTTGAAAAAGGTCGGTATCACATGGGATTGTGGTAATAATGCCAGTACCCAACCATGGAACCTTCAGGGCCTAATTTCACATACTTGTTTCCACCTATCTCAGACTTCAGGAGAGAAATTGGTAGGAGGCAGGGAGGGGGAGAAGGAGAATGGAATGGAATTTCATCAACAGAGAGAAATTAAACCTGACTGCATGTCATGTTAAAACGCACTGAGGGGACATTTAAATGCTTTCTTTTCATGTATCTAATTTTACCGATTGGCAATTAAGAAATGACATTTGGGTACCAGGCAGTATCCATGTGTTGTTGAAGATATTCACTGTTCACGTGCACTGAGCACTGGTGCCCGGGTCAGGCTGGATGCTGCAGGAGCTGGCCTGAGGCCTCTACCCTGACACCCCCGCCCAGCAGCTCCAGGGGAAAGCGGGCACCAGTGCCTTCCAGACCCGGCTCCTGCCTTCACAGCCTCTTCGAAGTTGGCAAATGAGATCATGGCTGAAGCTGCGGGCTGTGTGAACAGGGACTGCATAGTATTCTTCCACTTGTGTGTATGTTTGATATTTCTCCATAATAAAATGTTCTTAAATACATCTCTTCAGGACATGGAAGCCTCGCAGGCCTGCTAAAATTGGTACTAATGGAATTCCGTAGCTTGGAACTGCCTTTTAAAAACTTTGCAGCCTGAACAGGCCTTGTGAATATCCTCTTACTGGGGATGTAACATGCAGCTGGCGTAGATGGAGTTTAGCAGATGCTCTCATGCTGCTTTTACCTGGGTTTCCGCAGGGCTGTAGGAGCCCCATTGTGGGCCCTCTGAACACCCTGGGCCGGCACCGACCCTGACAATGCTCCACGCATGCCTCTGCCTCTGCCGGACCTATGCCTTCCCTTCCAAGGGGGAGTGGTAGTTACCCTTCCAAGGGGGAGTGGTAGTCTCATGCATCACCAGGGAGCCAGAAGCAATTTGCCTGGCTCACTGAGGTGGCAGAACAGAGCCAAGACTTCGCAGCGGAACAGCATGGACTGAGTGATCCCGAGTCTCTGCTGGGGCCCTGGTGGGGAGGGCAGGATTTGAGCTAGTAAGCTAGGCCTCACCCCATGATGCCCATGCCAAAAATATGCTAAGTGGATAATGAGAGATCTGAAAAAACTGACAAGGGAAGCTGGGCAATGAAAGAGTAAGATGGAGCACACGCCTCCACTGATGGCGACTGACCCACAAGCTGACTGCTAAGACAAAAGAAAAGGTGGGCAGAAGAATCACTTGTGACCAGGGACCTATTTAGAGGACATCAACTTCCATTAAACTCCCAGGGAACTGTGGCATTGAAAGCTCTCACATGTGGGCGACTTACAACCCAGGGAACACTGTGTGGGACAGCTGTGTGGATGGGAGGATATCTCGGTCTTTGAGACAGGCCTCACGTTCATCTGCTGCATCACAAGATGCCTGGAGAGGGCTTGAGGGACACCAACCACCACAATGACAGTAGTCAAGGGATGGTGGTCCTAGCAGTTTCCATTTGTGGAGTGACCACTAGGCACCATGCCAAGGCCATACAAATGCTACCTCATTAACCCTCCACAACCCCACGAGGTCGGTACTATGACTGCTGTTCCCATTTCACAAATGAGGAAACAGAGGCTCAAACCCATAAAACTACCGGCCAAAGGTGCCATTGCTAACAAGAGGCAAAAACCAGTATTCAGGATTCTGACCAATCCGATAACAAGGCCCCCCCACCGCCCCCCACCAGCCATCCTGCTCCTCGACAGGCGGCAGCCCTCTACCGGCATCGCCACCGGAAGTGGGAGCACACCTCCCCCTCCCTCTCCCAGACCTCCCCCTTTACCTTCTCGTTGGCTGACTGGGAGATGAAGCGGACGGGCACCCAGTCCAGCACGTCCTGGGCCCGGGAATTTCCGAAAGGGGCCACATAGTCTGGGAAGCTCTGGCCCCACAGTAGGCTCTGTACCTTCTGCTCCACGAGCCAGCACGGGAGAGCTCCGGACAGTCTCGGAAGGAAAAGAGGTTCAGCTGGATGACATACTGCTCAGCCCCAGAGCTTAGCGGTCTCAATGACACACGTGCCTTTCCAGTCTCATTATCTTTTCACTCCCCAAAAGGGGGATGATTTGACCAAAGCGAAAAGGTCCCTAACTTTGTGAAATCCTGGCAGGAGGTGGTGAGTCCAAAACGGTGTTTTCCAAACTGTGTGCCACTGAGGCTCTGCACAAGGGTTCCATGGCCAAAAGTTGGGGAAGCATTGTCCCCCACATTCCTGTGTCCTTCCTGAAGCACATTTGCATATTACACACTCAGAGGGAGTCATAATTTTAACTTTAATTTGGTGCTTCCCAAATATATTGAAACACAGACCCACCCCTACTGACGGAACCCCCTTTGAGAAATGCTGGTCTAAAAAGTCCAGAACTAATCATGTAAATGGTGAATACTGGTCTGGCCAAAACAATGATAGAATGGCCCTGGGGAAGTATGTGCACAGTAGGGGCGGGTGAAGGGAAAGAACCAAACCTTCACCTTCCATGATAGAAACTCAACAAGAATTCACGAAACCAAAAAAATCAGGAAGTAGCATTATATGCAGGTTGTTTGACGATTTTGGATTTCCAAAAATCTAGTGGTTTTTGGAAAGTGGTTGCTTCTGAGATAGGGCAAATGAGGATGAGAACTGCTGGTCTTATAACAAGCTATACAGAACTATCTGACATATTACATTCTGCACATATTTGATAATGAAAAGATAAAACAGATCACATTCACACTTCCTCTCACTGGTTTTGATGTGCTGCATATATTAGAATTCAGAAATATAGGAAGGACATTCAGAAGAAACATTTTTGTTGTGAACTCAAATGCTATGGAACCTCAAAAACGAAACATACAATGCCTTGAAGTGTTTACTTGGCCACATGAGATAAGAAAATGACTGTAGTAGTTTTGCTACTATTCGTTCCTATGAGGACCAACTACATGTGGGCTTCCTAGGACTCACCAGCGGATGCAGAGGCTTGATTGAAATGGGAGAAGGGGAATGCTGTTTTCTCATCAGCACAAGCAAGTTCCAATAGAGATATGACCTCCCTTACCTTAGTTTGCAGCCCGACTGCATGTTGTGACCAAATAATACTGGGGTCCGGATCCCCTCAAGTGCCAAGCAGTCTTGCTCAGCTGTACTATGAAGAATAGTAAGCTGTCCGTATCTGTTCGTGGTCTGAATAATCCCAGACATTCACAGACAGTTAAGGGACAATTGCCCAGCACTAGAGCAGTCTTATTCTCGGGTAAGAAGAGAGTGCCACTTGTGTGACATAAGACATGAATGAGAACCAAATATCCCTTCTCTGGGCCTCTGGGAGTATGACAGTTATTTCCCAGCAGAGGGCAAAAAATAGTTATAACTATTTCCCTTGATTAGTAGATTTTCAGAAGAAGTTATCAGAAACTGGCCCTTCAAAGTTAATTCTTGGCAGAAAACAGTAGATTGCCTGAGCCCACGGGTTCGAGACCAGCCCGGGCAACTTGGCAAGACCTTGTCCCTACAAGAAATGAAAAAACTTAGCCAGGCATGGTAGCACATACCTATAGTTCTGGCTACTTGTAAGGCTGAGGCGGAAGGATCGCCAGAGCCCAGCAGGTCAACACTGGAGTGGGCATGAGTGTGCCACTGTACCCCAGCCTGGGCAACGGAGTGACACTCCAACTCAAAAAAAAAAATTTTTTTTTAATTTTCAAAATCACTGAATTTGTTTAGGAGTCTCTGTTTAAATGTGAAATTAAATACATCTAAATGTCAACTTTTCTGTCTTAAGATTTTCACTTTAAAACACTGACATATTTTGTATCTTAGTGGCAGGCTGGGGGAAAAAATGTTTAAAAAAACAAAACACTGACATTTTCCTAGAACATGCTGTTTCACCCCCGATTGCCAGTCTCCCCTCAGCCCACCTGCCATGCAGCCAGCCCTGCTGCCACCAATGCCACCCGGAAGAAGCTCTGGCCAGGACTGGCCTCTCCTCTCCATGAGCAGCCCAGGGGACCCTCGGTGATACAGAGAAGCAGGGCCCCTGCAGGAGGACAGGAAATCTACCATCTCCACAGAACTGATAAAGGATACCCCCTCCGAGGCTGGACTCCAGCAGCTAGCGGGAGCCCTGCCACATAACCAGGGTTGCCACTGAGAGGAACTGGCTTTGTATTTTCCTGGAAGACAATGCAGTAATGCCCCCAAGTAATTCTCACTTTAATAAGGAAACGGTGGGGAGAAAATTAAATGCTTTTTTTCATAATGAAATCTGGAATTACCATTCAATAAAGGAATTTTTCCCTTTACTCAGAATAGAGCACTGAGCATGGGAGTGCATCACCCTGGAGAAGAACAAGCCTGTATGGGAGGTGCCCTGACCCAAATGGATAAAGACACACAGGTAATACTTGGTTTTGTCACAGACTCCACAGCCCACATGTAAGCCCTCTGTTCACCACAAAGGTTAGATGTGGCAGCACTTCTATATTGAGTTCTCCCTACTAAGAAGTTATGATTTCTTTTTAACTTGGCAACTAGATACTTGTACAAAATTGATTAAACTCACCTGAATAAACTGAATTTCAAACGTTTGCTGCAGTGGAAGCATGACGTTGCTAACTGTCCCCAGAAGGAAAGAGAGATCAGCTGTGGTTACTTCACCTGCATCTGTGTATGTGAGGCTGTACATCACCTAAAACACAGTGATACTCCAGATCCACCTATTCCCCTGGCAGCTCAGCAGCTGTATTAACAATTCAAACAAAACACCTGCACATCTTTTCCCAGCTCTCCACTTGGTGAAGCCTTCTCTGCTGAGGGTGGGGGCAGGGTAGGGGGGAAGAGGTTCCCTCAACACACCCAAGGAACAGAGCTATCAGGTCTCTCTGTGCCCATTTACAGAAGTTCCAAATTGGCTGATCCAAGCAGAACATAATGAGTACATCTCTGCAGAGGAACTGTGTCAAAACAAAAACAACTGAATTCTGACGCATTCTTGCAAGTCACTAGGCTTGTGGAGACAAGTAAGGACGTGCCCTCTGAGGCAACAGCAGGAAGGCAGCAGGTGGCCATGCCAAGAAAAGTCACAGCATGGGATAGCCAGAGCCCCCTCAGAAGGGGTCAGTTACCCTGAAGGACATGTCGCTTGAGTCTGCCACAACCAGACATGTTCTCAAAGCCACATGGGCACCCACCTCAAGAACAACGTTCGTGCAGAGCAGAACGTGGCCAGTGTCGGCGAGTGCAGGCCGCAACATGCCAGTATCCTCCCGCCGAGTGCGCGTTCTGTTTAGAGACTGAACGATGATGGACTGGATGGTGATGGGGACCTGCAGAGTGGAGACCTGGATTATGAAAGACTCGACCGGGGTGAGTGGGTTCAGCTAGAGAAGACCTGGGACGAGCCTCCGTGGACTGCGGAGTAGGGCACGCATGCTATGGGAGTGTGCATGCTGGGATCCCACAGTTGCAAAAACATGATATTTACATGTAAAAACCTGTACATGCACACAGAAAATATTCAATAAAGATATAATCAAAACTAGAAGTAGTTATCTCTGAAAACCTATGTTCACACAAAAACTTATATGTGATTGTCCACAGCTGCACTATTCATAAAAGCTAAAAACTGAAAACCATCAAAATGTCTGTCAACTTGTGAATGGACAAAGAAAATGTGATCTATCCATACAAAGGAATATTATTCACCCATTAAAATGAAGCACTGCTATGTGCTGCAGCATAGATGCATCTTTAAACCATGCTGAGTCAAAGAAGCCAGACACGAAAGGCCACACAGAGTCCATGGTTCCATCTATGTGCAACGTCCAGCAGGCAAAGCCACAGGGATAAAGAGGAGTACTGCCGGGGCTGGGGGACAGGTGGGGAGGAACGGAGAGTGACTGCAAGCCCAGGTTTCCTGTTCTAGAATTGGTAGTGGCTACATAACCTTGGGAATGTAGAAAAACCCATGTATTCTTTAAAATAGTGTTTTATGGTATGTAAATTATCTCTCACATACACACATAGCTCCATCACACCATCAAATGCATATATGTTTTCTCACCTCTGAAACACACTCCCGCTGATAAATCCACACACTCTAACACACACGTGCACACGCCACACGCAATCCCAGGACACCTACTCGTCAGTCCCTACAGCCTCCTTGAATATTCACTTGTCCGGATTTATAAGTCTATGCACGCGCGCGCGTACACACACACACACACACACACACACACACACACACACACACACACACACACACACATCGCAGTTATCTCAGGATAGTGGGATTACGGGCAAGAGAAAACAGAGCCAGACAAACCCAAACACCCTCTTAAGCAAATCAAGAAGCCCTGGTTACCCCAATGCTATTAAAGGACATTCCACATCCATGGCCATTGCCAGCAGAGTGACAACAGCAAGCAGTTCTCTAAAGCTGGCTAGGCCTCCTTGTACTCCATGACGTTTGCTCTAAATTCCAATTCTTGGAAACCACTGTTCAGGAAGGAATCCAATGGATCTAGTTGTTCATATTGCTTTGACTCTGCACTCAGTTGTGTACCATGCTCTTTCTAATTCAAAATTACTAAGTATTTAAGCTGTCACTTCAGAGGTAAAGAAGCAGTCCTTATGTGACCCCTTCCGTGACCAAGAAGATCTACAATGTCCTTGCAATTCAAAACCTCTCATAGAAGAATATGACATGAGCTGTCAGGTGACACGAGTGGCAGAGGGTGAAACTAGTCACCTTAAGGCCCCTGCATGACAAGCCACGTCTGTGGGTTTAAGAGTCACACAGGGAGTCCTGGGCTGTGACCTAACTGCCTCTTGTTCAAGGTGTCCAAAGACAGCCTGGATTCCTTAACTGAACATATTGATCCCTGACTCAGCAATGACACTGGGTTCCCAGGAAATATGGGCCCAGGGCCGCTCCTGTGCTGTGTGGGTATCATCAGCAAAAACAGAAAGGTCCAGTTAACCTAAGCACTGGGAAGACTGATGGACTTGAGCAAATGACAAGCGCTTCGCAGGCCAGCATCTTACTGGGATGGTCACAGAAGAAAACGGTAGGGCTGTTCTGATTTCCACCACATCCTCTCCAGTCATACCCTACCCCCACACTACCCTGGGACAGGACTACAGCACTTATACTTGATGAAACCCCATGCTGTCCTTCAGTCTTTCACAGATGGCTCAGCAACATTGACAATGGTTCCGGGCAACTTAACAGGCTTCACTTAATCAGGAGACTCCATCCAATTTCTGTATTCCTGGTCTTCTAGCCAACCCTGAAAGTTGCTTTCTTTTTTCAAATTCAAACAAATCCCTGCTAGTAGTTTGCATGCTTGTCCTTCAGAGCCCAGGCTTTGGTGTCACACAGACATGAGAGGAAATCCCAGTATGCCACATCCTGCCTGTTTGGGAAGATGTGAAGCTTGCAACTTGGGGCCTGTCACAGCAGAGCCAGTCCAGTGTCATGGTCAAGTGTAAGGTCTCTGGGGCCAGACTGCCTGGATTTCCATCAATAAAGCCACTCTACTTGCCACTTCCCAGCTGTGCAGCCTTCGGCAAGCTCATCCATCTCTCTGTGACTCATCTGCCAGAGAATGATAATAACAGAACCTGCCTCCCAGGACTGCCACGAGGACTCAAGGCCTTCAGACGTGTGTAGAATGGGGTCTAGCATCTGCTCCACCTTCCACTAACATCCGCCATTCCTCATAACAGGTCTTCCCTACCTGATTGGACTGGCCTCCCAGTCATCTCTTAACACATAGCCCACTGAGCACCCACTACATACTATTCGCTGCCCTAGAACTGAGGATGTTATCAGAGACAAGGCAGACAGCGTTGCTGCCCCACAGATCGTTTGTTTCACTTTCTGGTAGCTGGAGGGATGGGAGAGCTTGCCCACGGCATGCCTTTCACACTGGGTCCCTGCAAGCCAGAGGTTCCCACAAGGTCCAAAGAGGAGAGGGAGGCTGGATGGGTAGAGGGCTTCGCCCCCAGCCCCCTCCAGCCAGCAGCTCCGAATTCTACCCAGGAGGGGCACTGTTTGACTGCATTTGAAAAAAGGGCTCTAGTTCGAAGGCACCTCACAGATGAGGGGGTCCAAGCCACATGGTAACTTGAAATCCAAAGTCACACAGCTATTTTCTTTCAAACATCTCTCAAACATACGCTTGTGTCTCGAGACATAGCAGAATCCATGACAGCTGGCATCTCACTGTCCTGAGTGTCTCGCATCAAGCCTGAGCACAGACACTCACCGTCCACTCAGCAAGGGAGATGGAGGTGTAGGTCAGAAGCGAAAATAACGGCAAAGCTGAGTTCTGAACCTAGGCTGACCAGTCTCACTGGCTTTGGGAGACCATGACAAGCCATCACCTCAGGGCTCCTTGGGGACTGTGTTCACAGGCAGGCCTCAGGCGCAGAACCTAAAATAAGGGGTAGAGGATCCATGTTCCTTCTCCAACTTATCCACAGGGAGACTTTGGCCTTCAGGCCTGAGCCTGACAGAAGTCCTGGGCAGGGCCATGAGCTCTAAACAGAATCTATCCTCGAAACAACCCTAAGGCGCATGCGAGCACACACCTCCTTCACAGTGCCCTGTACTGAACAAGGGGATCACAGCTTCTGCACTGGACAGACAGCACCCTGGGAGTTGACCGAAAAGAGAGTAAGGGACGGCCTGAATGCTCAGAAGCCCATCACACCCACTGCAATGAAGGTAGCTGTGTCCCTAAAGGTGGAAGAGTGTAAAACCACGGCAACTGAGGGAGTTGGGAAGTCTGAAGTGTTTCCAAAAGGGGCAGTGACTAAGGAGCTTCCCTGTTTCATGTGTGCTTGCTGTTTGGCAAATGTATTTGTTGTTGGCAACGAGGTCCCCTTCTAACTGTGTCATTCCAAAGGGCTCAGAAATAAGACAGTGTATTCTAAGCAATCTTACTTCCCACTGAGAAATACTCTTACCTTTTTTCTTGAATTCGGCACCTAGACAAAAAGAAACCACAACAAATTGTGTTAAATACAACAAAGAGAAGCACTTTCATTGTCTTTTCAGTCCTTGGGTTCAAGGGCATACCCGTACTTGGAAGGCTGAGGCAGAAGGATCACCTGAGCCCAGCAGGTCAAGGCTGCACTGGCCATGAGCGTGCCACTGCATTCCAACCTGGGCAACAGAGTGAGACTCCAATTAAAAAAAAAAAAAAAAAAACTTCACCAAGAGAAGCAGCATTGCTCCCATCCTTTAAGTTTGCATCTGTGGCATAATCAGAGTGGTAACGATGCATTTGCCTTCTATACTCATTTCTTTTTACATTGAAGCTCAACAAGTTAGCTTCAGGAAGACTCCATGCACCAGTGTCATCACTCCGGGGTTTTTTTGTTTTTGTTTTTGTTTTTGCATTCAATTCTTTAAATTAAAACAATTTTTTTGTAGAGACAGGATCTCACTATGTTGCCCAGGCTGGTCTTGAACTTCTGGCCTCAAGTGATTCCCCTGCTTTGCCTCCCAGAGCACTGGGATTGCAGGTGTGTACCACCATGTGCAGTTCATGTTTTGTTTTATTTTGTTTTCCAAGACAGGGTCTCACCATGTTGCCCAGGTTGGCCTTGAATTCCCGGGCTCAAGTGATCTCCTGCCTCAGCCTCCTAAATAGCAGAGACTAAAGGTGTATTTCATATTTCCATGTAGTCTCACTGCCATAAGGTGGAGGAAGGCACAAGTCCTGCCCTCCTGGTCACTCACACCACACCTGTCCTCACTGGAAGGCCACCATGACTTGCTCAAGCAATTTTCACAGCCTCTTACCTACTGGGTCTTCCTGCCACCTGCCCAAGTCCCCCTGGGGCCAAGCTCCTGCCCCCCAAGGAGACAAGCTTTCTTTTTTTTGAGTTGGAGTCTCACTCTGTCACCCAGACTGGAGTGCAGTGGCCGCTCCCAGCCACCGCAGCCTCGACCTGCTGGACTCTGGCGATCCCTCCACCTCAGCCTTTCAAAGAGCCGAAGGTGCGCACTACCACGTCCGCCTAATTTTTTGATTTACTGTAGAGATGAGGTCTCGTCAAGTGGCCCAGGCAGGTCTCGAACCCGCAGGTTCAGCCAATCCACTCACCTCAGCCTCCCAAAGTGCAGGATTGCAGGCTGAGCCACCGAGCCCGGCTCACAAGCTCACTTTCTGAAGGGTCCACCTCCCTCACTTGCTGCCCCCTCCTCTCCCAACCTCATCACAAGACACCCTGTTAGGCCACTGGCAGCTTTGGGAAGGAGGATGGATAGAAATGCTGGGAGGCCTGCGCTGAAAGATAACAGTGCCTGGGTGCCAAGGGATTACTTCAGGACAACTATGAGGAGTCAGATGACCTGGAGGAACTCACAGGCCGGGATGGCTGACTTGCAAGAAGAGAGGGAGGGGGTAGGGAGGGGAGAGGAAAGGTTAACCTTAATTCTGAAGTGTAGCCCAGAAGAATAATTGTGCATGGTCTACCCTTGCACCCCCAACAAAAAGAAATCAGGAGAGGGGCCCTTTGACAATAATCATATATGTATATATTTTAACTAGGGTCTCACTCTGTCACCCAGGCTGGAGTGCAGTGGCATGATCACAGCTCACCACAGATCTGACCCCTGGGCTCTGGTGATCCTTCCATCTCAGCTTCCCAAGTAGCTGGGATTACAGGCATGCACCACCACGCCCAGTCATTTGTTTAATTTTTTGTGGAGACGAGGTCTTACTATGTTGCCTGGGCTCGTCTTAAACAATTCTCCTGCTTTGGCCTTCCAAAGTGCTGGAATTACAGGTCTGTCATATGACTTGGGTTTTTTTTGAGTCAGAGTCTCACGGTGTTGCCCAGGCTGGAGTGCAATGGCACACTCACAACCACCATAGCCTTGACCTGCTGGGCTCAGGCGATACTTCCACCTCATCCTTCCAAGCAGCTGGAACTATAGGCATTCACCACCATGCCCTACTAATTTTTTTTTATTTATTGTAGAGACAAAGTCTTGCCGAGTTATCCAGGCTGGTCTTAAACCTCAGCCTGTTAAACAGTTTTTGGGGTTTTTTTGGAGTCTCACTCTGTCACCCAGACTGGAGTGCAGTGGCGGTTCGCAGCCTCGACCCGCTAGGCTCCGGCGATCCTTCCACCTCAGCCTTCCAAGTAGCTGGAACTACAGGCGCGTGCTACCACGCCTGGCTAATTTTTGATTTATTGTGGAGATGAGGTCTCGCCAAGTTGCCCAGGCGGGTCTCGAACCCACGGGCTCAGGCACTCCACTCACCTCAGCCTCCCAAAGCGCTGGGATTACAGGCTGAGCCACCGAGCCTGGCACAACAGCTTTTAATCATTGAAAAACAACTGTCCTGGCAGCCCTCCATCTGTCACATAGGTCAGTGGTCTCACTCACTCATATAGTTCAGGCCTTGGTCCCTGCAGCAGAGGAGGGGTCTGCACCCACCCCCCCTTCTCCCATTCCTGTCCTTTCCTGACCACCTATGCAATCTGCCACAAAGAGTGGATTTTCTCTTCTGAGCTGTTTCTGAGAGAGAGAGAGCTCTTTTAGTGCTAATAAGACTTTTTTGTCACAGACATTAAGATTTTCTTATGATTTATAAAGTTTTTAGTTATTAATTATAGTTTATTCAGGAGACAGACACTGGTTACCACCAAAATAAGTGAAAGGGGAAAAAAAGAAAGCAAAATATGAGCTAACTATATACAAATAAAAAATACTTAAAAGATTATTTCAATAATCGCTGATACCAAAGTGCTGGAAAAATATAAACCTGAGTGTCAATCATGTACTGAAATTATTCTAGTTTGTCATAGTTTAAAAGGGCACAAAAAACAGAAAACATACAAAATGAATCAATTCCACTTCAGAATCATTCTTACCCTCAAAATTTCCAGGCTGCTGTAATAAGACATGCTCAGGGCTTCAGCTTCTTCACACTGTTCTAAACCGATGTTTCTGGTGCATTTAACAGCCTGGTTTACCAGAAACGCTGGAAATCATAATGTTCCCAAGGAAAAGAAAATACAAAAGAGAATAAAATTTTCAACGATCAAATGGCAACTAAAACATTGCAACCTAAGTTACAACATAAATATGCAATATGTTTAAAATAGAGTTTAAAATTATTTTTCAGATGGATAATACATTTACAAAATTTAAAAGTCAAAAGGCACAAACAAACACTGCACAAAGTCTCCCTCCAATTCCTGTCCTCCCTACAGCCACTCCCCAGGGGCAGCCACATGGAGTTTCTTGGGTCTCTTTCTGGAGATGGTCCATGCAAATGAAATACGTATGCAAAATGTTTTATTATTTCTTTCCCCCTTTGGAAACAAATACACAATACATACACTATTCTGCTGCTCATATTTTTCCCTAAACAATGTATCTTGAAGATCAGCCTGTCTCAGTACATGAAGCACTTCCTCCTTCCTTCTTAGGGATAATTAGTGTTCGATTATAGATGTGACATAATTATTCCACCAGCTCCCTATTTATGGCCTCTTAAACTGTCTCTGTCTTTGCTATCACAACCAACGCTGCAATCTGCTACTGCATGTGGGCCAGCGCTTCCAGAGGGTCAGCTCCTAGGAGGAGAACAGCTGCGGGGAAAGGCACATCCGTTCGTAATGTTGATCCATAGGCTGAAGTGCCCTTCACAGAGGTTGGACCAGTCGCAGTCCCACCAGCTGTGTAGGCGAGTGCCTGCTTCCCCACAGCCTCAAATGTTTTGAGCTTTGCCAATCTGTCAGGGGAAAATGGTATCTCAGCTTGATTTCAATGTAACTGTTCTTAGTAAGTGTGAGGTTAAGAATCTTCCCAACAGAATACATTTTCCTGTCATCCATTACTTAGTTTCTTCATGGCGAGGCTCGCTCAAGGACTGGAGAGCCATGCCTCCTTCCACTGCCTGGGGCCATTCCCAGTATTCCCAGATGTTCCTTCAAGGAAGAGGACCCTTGGGAGGCAGGGAAGCATGGGCTGCAGGCCAATCGCATGGGTTCCATGCCTGTTCCACCACCACCTGAGTGAGCCTGAGCAAGAAACTGCACATCTCTGTGTCCTCGTATTTCTAAGTGATAGAGATTTGCACCCGACCTCGAGGGTTACATGCAAGCACTTAACACAACACCCAGCATAGAGCAAGTGCTAAGTAAATATCAGCTGTTAATAGCCTTAGAATGCCCCAAGCAACTGGAAGTGTTAAGCAACTGAGTGAGCTGTTTTCAGGTAGTAAGTTCCCCATCACTACAAATGCTCAAGCAGTGACTGTGTGTGGGAGAAAAGATTCTGGCCCTGGGTGGGAAATCAAACTACATAACCATTAAGTCCTCTTTCAACCTAAAGATTCTCTATTTCTAGTTATAAGACCTGTTTAGTTATGATTACTACACACGTAAACTAACCAGAGCAAACAAAGAAGAATGAACTCTCTTACCTGCAGGGTTATTATCAGTGCACAGAGATGATGTCAGGGGCGAAGGAAATCTCAGAAATGAATCTGACGTCTGCAAGCGAACCCCAAACTGCAAGCACAACCACCGGCAGTCACCATGGGGTGATTAAGGCACTCATTCAACACATACTGGCACTTTCTATGTGCCAAGCAGCACTGCAGGTGCTGGGGACACAATGATGGACACAGAACAAACATGTCCTCGCCTGATGGAGATGCAGCTCGCTATGCCACCCTTTCTTAGAGGACAACGTGCTTCTCTGTGTGCAGGTTACTGCATTTGTAGGCTTTTGGGGTTGGGGGGGGTTGTTTTTTTTGAGTTGCAGTCTCACTCTGTCACCCAGATTGGAGTACAGTGGCCGCTCCCAGCCACCGCAGCCTCAACCTGCTGGGCTCCGGCAATCCTTCCGCTTCAGCCTTCCAAGTGGCTGGAACTACAGGTGCGCGCTACTACACCCAGCTAATTTTTTGATTTATTGTAGAGATGAGGTCTCACCAAGTTGCCCAGGCAGGTCTCGAACCCGTGGGCTTAGGCAATCCACTCATCTCAGCCTCCCAAAGCGCGGGATTACAGGCTGAGCCACCAGCTTGTAGGCTTTTTAATTATAGAATTCGAATTCCTCTGATGGGTCTAGAAGAAGCTGACTTAAAGGTTGACCTCTGCAGACAGGAACTAAGTGGCTGGACTCAAGGGTGAGAGAATTCTTTTTTCACTTGCACGAATTACTTAAATAACATTAAAATTAAAATCATAAAAATCAATTTTTTAGTCGTCAATTTTATGAAAGAATGCCTTCTTTCCCAAAACCAAACCCCATAGCCAAAACCCAAATTTGTAGCTATTGGGCATACAGTTAATTTTTTTGAAATTGAAATGCCAGCAGGGGTATGGAAACACAAGTCCTTTTCATTCACTGGAGCTGGGAGTGTAAATCACTACAATCTTTCTGCATAGCAACCTGGTATCAATATCCAAAATTTTTATTCATTTTGACCAAGCTAACCCACTTATAGGAACATATCCTAAGGATTTAATCAGACAAAGGTACAAAGATACATGTATATACAAGAATGTTCTTTGTGGATTATTTATAATTGCAAAAACTGGAAACAAACATCTGTTGAGAGTAGAATGGCTCAGATACATACACACAACGGATACTTTGTAAAACGTAGCTCTGACACTAGTTCTGATGAGTTACTTTCCTGTGCCTCAGTGTTTCTCACCAGGTGAATGGGGACAATGGCTTCCCAGGGTTGTGGGAAGTAAAAGCTCTGCACAGTGCCTGGCGCACGTAAGATGCTCAATAAATGGTCACTTTATACATTGACACAGGAAGATGCACAAGATTTATCACTAGAAAAGGAATTTTCCAGCCGGGCTCGGTGGCTCAGCCTGTAATCCCGCGCCTTTGGGAGGCTGAGGTGAGTGGATTGCCTGAGCCCGCGGGTTTGAGACCCGTCTGGGCAGCGAGACCTCATCTACAATAAATCAAAAAATCAGCAGGGCGTGGTAGCGCATGCCTGTAATTCCAGCTACTTGAAAGGCTGAGGCGAAAGGATTGCCGGAGCTCAGCAGGCGAGGTTGTGGTGGCTGGGAGCGGCCACTGCACTCCAGTCTGGGCGACAGAGTGAGACTTCAACTCAAAAAAAAAAAAGAAAAGGAATTTTCCAGAACAACATGGATAATTATAAACCCCGCTTCTGTATAATACTACATACACATTTTTATAGATGCATTTAAGAATCAGGAAGAATGCACGTCAATCTTTTCAGTGATTTGCAGTGCAAGTTTTAATGGAGACAGGAGGTCTTTCAATTTTTACTTATTTAACCCTATATGCTTAACTTTTAGAACTAGTGCATGCTGCCTTTACACTTTTATTTTTAAAAAGATGCTTCCAAAAATGTTGACATTTATTAAAAATTATTTTTGTTTTGTTTTTGAGTCAGGGTCTTGCTCTGTTGTCCTGCCTGGAGTGCAGTAGCACAATCACAGCCTTGACTTCCTGAGCTCAGGAAATGCCTCTGCCTCAGCCTCCTGAGTAGCTGGGTCTACAGGTGTGTACCACCACGCCTGGCTAGTTTTTTAATTTTTTGTAGAGACAAGGTCTTGCTATGTTGCTCAGGCTAGTCTCATACTCCTGGGCTCCAGCAATCTTGCCTCAGATTCCCAAAATGCTGGGATTATAGGCATTCAGAGCTATTCAGTTAATATATGTCACACTTAAAGGTTTACTAATGAAAACAACACACACCTTCAAAATCTGTAAAGCTAAATACAATTTTGAGAAGACCAGGCATCCCACCAATTCACTCCATGTCCCAGCAATAGGCAGACCTCAAGCATTTTGCTGTATCTTTTAAGATTGAGAAGGACAAAGAATTCTGCAAGCTTGCCACAGCACAAACAACCTTAAATCCTATACTGAGAATTGAAATATTCAATTTTCATTTTCACGATCTTTGACTTGTAGGCACAACATTAATTTTTCAGTCTCTAATATCAATTCCATGTCTTGGGGAAGCCAATTTTGCTGGTAACATCAAGAGTTACTTTATAAGCTCAGGAGATTGTGATGGGAGGAGTAGATCAAGTTCTCGGCTCACCTCGTATTTAGCAGTATCTGGAGCATCCAATATGGTTGTGAAGGAAACATCTGATTCAGCATTCAATGCAAAACCATCAGATGTTTTCATCAACTGATCAAAATTGTTTTCATCCGGCACTTCTGGACTAATAAAGGATAATGCAGGTTTATCTGTTTTTTAAAAAGTATTTTAAATCAGCATTACATTATATAAACATAATACTATATATATGCATATATTATATATGTGTGTGTGCATATATATACATATATACATATATATATATAGAGAGAGAGAGAGAGAAGCTTTTAGTAGCATTTAGGCTGATGTAAAAAAATAAAGTGCCTTTTTCCCATATTCACTTTTCCCATGATTTCTTGAAGCTCATTAAACAAACAGGATCCCTCAACTCAGCCTTCTTTTTTTTTTTTTTTTTTGAGTTGGAGTCTCACTCTGTCGCCCAGACTGGAGTGCAGTGGCCACCTCCAGTCACCGCAGCCTCGACCCACTGGGCGCCAGTGATCCTTCTGCCTCAGCCTTCCAAGTAGCTGGAATTACAGGCACGCGCTACCACGCCCAGCTGATTTTTTGATTTATTGTAGAGATGAGGTCTCGTCCAGTTGCCCAGGCAGGTCTCGAACCGCGGGCTCAGGCAATCCACTCACCTCAGCCTCCCAAGGCACGGGATTACTGGCTGAGCCACCGAGCCCGGCCAGCCTGCTTTTTTAACAGTGGGGAAGTAACAGTTTCTAGCACCTACAAGCAAATGGCACAACAGAAGCTAGTCATAATCAGTCTCTTGGTGCAACCTATGGACTGATGTATGCGACATCAACCTGTTAAGGGGAAGCTCTCCACAGACAGCTATGGGAATGAGAGGACCCCACTTCTGCTGTCACACAGCACCTCCAAGGCCCTAGAGAAAGATAATGTACTGTGTATAGCACAGGGGAAGGGAGCAAGCTGCTGTCGTCACTGGACTGGTGTTGTGGCAGAGAACGAGATAGTCACTGACCAGTCACTGCTTCAGATTACATGCAGAGCACCTGCCTACGTGTTCAATCACAAGAGAATGAAACCAAAATAAATAAAGACATTCTGAGAAGATGATGTTTAATTGGAAAATAAAACCATAAGTATGTCTCTGATCTTTGATACTGTGATAACATTTCACACTTGCATGTACCTTGGATCTAGACACTGCACTGATCTGAGCTAAATGCTTAGATAAAAATAAAGATCCTGTTTTCATGCAAATATTCTTAGTAAAAATAAAAGAGAAAAAGGAAATAGAAACCACAGGTAATGTTCAAGGCTAAACCTGATTTTTAACATTAAGCCAAGAGGAAACAAAGTCGAAAAAACACACGTATATATAGAAATCTAGATTCCTACATGTGTTTACACATTAGAAATACATTGGAAATCCAGCTTAAGGCTCAAAAGACAACTGAACAACCACAACTACTTTTAAAGAAAATGCAAGTGCCACAGGTCTACACTTGCCTGTGAAATGGCCTCAGAAGATAGACGTTATACATATAGCTAAAACATAGAATGGAATCTATCTGTATGAGACAATTTTCCATAAAATAACTTTAAAAGAAAAATTTTCAAGAGTTTCAAAATATATCAATGTTAAATACTTACAGTTTGTAATATGAATACAAAAAATAGATGGATTGATCTGGTCGACAAGTTTAAACAGTCTTTGAGGTGGGTCTGCTGTAAAATTCAATGAATAGATGGCTGCTTTTTTACTACAAAACTGGCTATCACCCCTGAAAATTAAAAAATAATAATACAAAGTTATAAGGCATGAGCACAAGCACACAGTCTTAGCAAGATTATTTTAAAACTGTCATACTGTACTATGCTAACAGTTACATGGGGGATAGTTGTAAAAGCATGTTGTTAGAAATGAATCCATTTTTACTTGGTTTATTCAGTGTTAAAATGTCTGGCATTGTTCGGGCTTGGTGGCTCAGCCTATAATCCCAGCACTTTGGGAGGCCAAGGTGAGTGGATTGCCTGAGCCCGCAGGTTCGAGACCTGCCTGGGCAACTTGGTGAGACGTCATCTCTACAACAAATCAAAAATTAGCTGAGCGTGGTAGAGCGTGCGCCTGTAGTTCCAGCTACTTGGGAGGCTGAGGCGGAAGGATCGCCGGAGCCCAGTAGGTCGAGGCTGCAGTGGCTGGGAGCGGCCCCTGCACTCCAGTCTGGGCAACAGAGTGAGACTCCAACTCAAAAAAAAAAAAAAGTCTGGCATTTGGGCCAAGCGTGGTGGTGCACGCTTGCTGTTCCAGCTACTCAGAAGGCCAAGGTGGGAGGATGACCTGAGCCCAGGAGTTCAGGGCCAGTGTGGGCAACACAGTGAGTGAGACTCCCCCATCACTAAAAAGAAGAAACAAATGACTGGCATTTGAAACTTTTTTCTCTAACAGGCAAAAAAACTAAGACAAATAGAATAAATTTTAAGGAATCTTGTCAAGTGTGGAATGTAGATCAGGGTATAATTTTGATGCCAATGAACCTTACAAACTCTGACAGCATCGATTATGTAAAAGCTGCAGACCTTCAGATTGTTTATAAACATGCAGAATAGATCCAAATCCCTTGTCTTTAGAAAAAAAGCTGTCTTCAAAGGCTTGTAAAAAATGCAAAGTCATCTGGAAGGTTAAGAATTAGGAGTTATGGTATAGGTAAGTGTTCAACCAAGCCCAGATTTGATAAACCCCAATCAATGGGATATAAATATAGATATGGTATGGAGATAGAGTTAGAACAAAACAGGACAGCCGGGCTCAGTGGCTCAGCCTGTAATCCCGTGCCTTGGGAGGCTGAGGTGATTGGATTGCCTGAGCCCGCGGGTTCGAGACCCGCCTGGGCAAATTGGCAAGACCTCATCTCTACAATAAATAAAAAATTAGCTGGGTGTGGTAGCGCGCGCCTGTAGTTCCAGTTACTTGGAAGGCTGAGGTGGAAGGATCGCCAGAGCCCAGCAGGTCAAGGCTGTGGTGTCCGGGAGCAGCCACTGCACTCCAGTCTGGGTAACAACTCAAAAAAAAAAGAACAAAACAGGACCACATTCTACACACCACTTTCAAGCTTTTCTCACTACTATTTCCCATGTCATCAAATATACTTTTGCAATATTATACTAAATATCTTCACTGTATTCTGGCCTATTAATGCACACCAATTTGTTTAACCAATCCTCTATTGTTAGTTTAAGCTGTTTCTAATTTTCTCCAGTTATATATAATACTATAATGACATCCTTGTATATGTATCTTCATGAATGTCTCCTGTTACTTCCTTTTGCTAAGTCAAAAAGACTGGTAACTTTTTTTTTTATTTGGGGTCTCACTCTGTTTCCAGGCTGGTGTGCAGTGGCACTACCACAGCTTGTTGCAGCCTCAACCTCCTGGGCTCAGGCAATCCTTCCACCCCAGTCTCCTGAGTAGGGACAAGAAGTGTGTGCCACCATGCCTTTTTTTTTTTTTTTTTTGGTAGAGACGATGCCTCACTACGTTGCCTAGTCTGGTCCCGAACTCCATGGCTCAAGCAATCTTCCTGCCTCAGCCTCCCAAAGTGCTAGGATTACAGACAAGAGTCACCTATGCCTGGATAGATAACATTAAGGCTTCTGAGACATATTCCCAGATTGTCTTCCAGAACGGTACAATACACATTCTCTACAATGCTGTGGTAAGACTGCCTATTTTCCTGTACTCTTATCAAGATTGGATTATCATTCAGTTTTTACTGGGCCTTCAAGGATGGGCAGGAATCAGACAGAGGGAATGGGAGGCTAATCCAAGTGCAAGAACAGCATTGGCCAAGAATGGTCTTTGGGAAACTCTGAGTACCAATGCTGGACTGGAGTGGAGGGTTCAAGGCGAAGACTGGTAGGAAGCAGGCTCTAAAAGCAGTTGGGAATGGCTCTGAATGCAGAAATGAGAGCTTCTGCAGCCTTTTTAGCAAGCGAGTTTGTGAAGTGTGAGCTGGGATGGACAATCATGAGGGCTACGGTGAAGGAAGACTCCACAGGACAGGACTCCTTCCTCCCCTCAGTCAGCCAGTCCCACTCCTGTGCAAGTATCAATGTCAGTGTCAGATCTCCAGTCCCACCGCCACTGCCTTCAGGGAGGGGAGAGTAACCATCAGTCCTCTTCAGCAATAGCTTCTTATTGATTCTCTGCGACCAGGCTTGGACCTTGTGACCCATCGTGCACACTGCTGAAGAATTCCACCAGATGGGAATCTGGTCCTCTCACTCCCCAGCCCTGCAGACTTCAGGACACAGTCCAAGGGCCTCAGCATCACACAAGGCCCCGACCCCTACTCTCGTTCCCACACTCCTCGCCCCACCCTGCTCTAGCCACACTGGGTTAGCTGCAGTCAAGGAAACAAGGCATGTCCCTTCCCCCAGGACTGCCCACGCAGCTCCCTTGGCCTGGAATGCCCTTTGCCTGATTCCATGTTGGCACAGCTCAACTCATCTTTTTCCTTTTTTTTCTCCCCTGTGTCCCCCTCAGCTCATCCTTTCTGGAAAGGATTCCCTAGTGGAGCTAAGTCAGACGCCACTCTGAGTTCTCCTAGTGCTTGGGGCAGACACCACCATCCATTGCTCATCTGTCTCCCTCACTCAACAGTAAGCCCTTTGCAGGCAGGAGCATGTCTACTCTTCGCTGGCACACAGGACGTGCTCCCAAAAGGGGGTAAAAGTGAAAGGCTGCTGAGACAGATAATAAGGCAGAAGGTGAGGAATAAGCAGGAACCAGGGGAGCCTCCAGGTTTCTGGCCCGGTGTCAGCCTCAAAAACTGACAGCAGAAGAAGTCAAAAGGGGGCACTAGAGAGTCAGCCAGGGGTGCAGGGGATTCGCTCCTTCAACTCATTTTTAATGAGGGCCAACTATGCAGCAGGAACTGGGCTAAGCACTGGTGGTACAGGAGAGAGAGATTCTTGAGCTCAGGAAGTACCCCACTAATGAAGAAAACAGACAGTAAGTCAATAAGCTCACCAATACTATCAGATAATGGAATTAGCTGTTGATAATTTAACAAATGTAAACAACCCTGTTATGAATTGGGACCTACATAGTGAGAACACCTAGGTAATTAGGATCATGACTTTTGATTTAGTTGTTTCTATGCTTCATACTTAGGAGAAAGTCACAATCAAACCAACTAAAAACAAAAGTGAGGTCTTTTCCTGGGGGCACTACAGATTCAGCCCTACCTTCTAAACTAGAGCCCTGCAAACCCCACCTGTTTTTGTAAAGAAAGTTCTGAAGGAACACAATCACACCCATCATTTACATATTCTAGGGCTGCTTCTGCTCAACAATGGTAGAGCTGAGAAGTTGCAACAGACACCCAGAAGGCCTGTGAGACTTAACATATTTTCTGTCTGGTCTTTTGCTGACCCCTGTTCTAAATAGTCTTTATCTAAAATTACTGTAGTGGTCAATCTTTTTTAAAAAGACATTCAAAAACATGGTATGAAGTTGGAACAGAAATCTTACTCTCAGGCTCCTGTACTAAGGCAGGAAAACAGAATTAATTCCAACAGACTGAACCATGCTATAGTCCAGGTAGCCAGATAATTACTCTGACGATAACACCCCATTCTCCAAGCATTTTTTTTTTTTTTTTTTTGAGTTGAAGTCTCACTCTATCGCCCAGACTGGAGTGCAGTGGCCGCTCCCGGACACCGCAGCCTCGACCTGCTGTGCTCCGGCGATCCTTCCGCCTCAGCCTTCCGAGTAGCCGGAATTACAAGCATGCACTACCACGCCCAGCTGATTTTTTAATTTCTTATAGAGAAGAGGTCTCGCTGCCCAGGCGGGTCTCGAACCCACGGGCTCAGGCAATTCACTCAACTCAGCCTCCCAAAGGCGCAGGATTACAGGCTGAGCCACCGAGCCCGGCTTGGTTTTGTTATTTTTTTATTTTTATTTATTTATTTATTTTATTTTTTTGAGTTGGAGTCTCACTCTATCGCCCAGACTGGAGTGCAGTGGCCACTCTCAGTCACTGCAGCCTCGACCTGCTGGGCTC